TTTGAATATTCATAAGGTCTTCCGCACTCCAATTCTTACTTTATCAACCGAAAGTTAAAGAAGGAATAATGTAAATTCTTTAATTAATGTAGTCAATCACGCAAGTTATATGATTATTACATTATTATACAAAATTAATATAAAAGTCACAATTCACTTTAAAGGATAGTGTAATTTAATTTGATTGGTGGTGGTTTATTTAATCATCATCGAAGTAAAGGTTGACTTTTTATTAATTATCAACTAGTTTGTGGCACAATATTGCATGAACATAACATCATTTACTATATTTTCACGCACAAATATGCGTAAAATTTTCATAGAATAATGACATCATTTGCATGGAGTAATGACATCATGAATATATTTTGATATTGATCTCACAACCCCTATTCGCAACATAATTCATTAAGAGTTGACTATAAAAAAATTGAGTTTTAACTTAATAATCCTTTACCCTAATTACAAAATCTATTGTTGATTTTCATATTAATGGCAATATATAAAACATATACAAGCAAATCTTTTAGGTGTTGCTCAAAATAAAAATAAAACATACACAAAGTTCTAAAGTAGGATAACATATGTTTTCTTCCCAAAATTTTTAGTCTTATTAGAAAAACAATCCTCGAAGAGGAGTGCATGAGTCATATTTTGAAAAGAAAATAATTGTACTCCTATGATATGATGTCATTCTGCAATTAAAGTTATGAAAAATGGCTATGGTTTGATGAAATAATTTCACACACATACATTCATCTTTTCTACAACAATAAAAGTTGTAATTGAAGTTAAAATCAAGAAGTATTATAGTAGTAAAGTACCATAATTCATTACATTAATTTTATACATATATTTTTATACTTCTAATCTAATTTTTTGGATGTTCACATAAACACTTTGGAAAACTTAACTGGACTCTATTGTCTGCTAACACACTTTCTTATTTAGTGTTAGGATTTAACTGTTAGTGTTACACATATTCACTATAAGAGCTCATTAAAGGTTTCAATAATGTCAATTTGTGGATGAGAAAATAATATAAATTATTTCCACTATACTATGTATATAGTCTATATACATATAAAGATTGATTATAGAAAAACATAAAAAATTTTGAAATTTTTTATTCATTCTAAGCAAATTAAAATGATTCTGTAATAACGAATCATAAAATTGGTTGAATTTTTAGGACACTGTATTGATGTAGCATGACAAATTAAATCAACACTATGTTGAGATTAGAGATCAAATTAGATTAATTAGAGAGAATTACAAGTTCCGGCGTTGTTGCATGATCAATTTAATGTATTTTTACAAAATCCTTACATTAACGTATTTTTACAAAATTAACGTATCTTGAATTAATCCTTTTCCCCCATGTACCGAACAAATCTAATCTAAAATCTTAATTTTTTTTAAATACATAAAAAGGAAAGATAACAAAGAAAAAATTAAAATATAATAATAGTCTCTAAACTATATGCATCCTCTAGGACTGCAATGTTGCTCATATGGACGGGTATTCAAAGTTTAAGTATTGTATGATACTGTTTAGTCTTTGGAGCAACCTATACTAAAACTAGCTAATTAATTACTAGCTACGTATTGTACCATGGTACTCTGATATTATATATGATGAGACTATATTGACATATCAATTTGGACTATTCTCTTCTATTCCCAAGAGTGGAGCAGATTTTCTTAGCTTATATGAAGAGTTTTTGTTGTCCTTTAATGCATGATCAATGCCAAATGTCCTAGATTCAATTGCCTTTTGTTGGCCACGTTAGGTGGCATTCTCAATGGTGGAGTTTCTTTGAGTGCTACGTGTCTTTCCAAGAAACTTAAGCTGCCATTTTCCTCTTCCAAATTTATGTAGTACATTTAATTTTTTATTCACTTATAAGCAACGAGACGCTTAATGTTTATAAATATTTCTACTATACGGATCTAACTGGTTATTTGTACATATAATAATTCTCAAGTAATATGGGAAAATGTTTCTTAATTAAAATCAAAATGTTATACGTAGTTGAAAACTATAAATAGTAAAGATCGAAAAGACGTCGGAAAGAAAAGAATAATTTTAGACATATTAATAGTTATTAGCGGTAATACTGGCGGCGAAAGGATACACCTTAACTAGCAACTTGCTCTACGAAAATTACTAGCTATAAACATATTTAACTTAATCGTATTATTAATTAGTTTGGGTCATCATATTTTTTTTTTAAAAAAAGCACACCACATCACTATTGTCATTTTATTCTAACATTAATCAAGTGTCTTGTGGTGAAGTAATACTATAGAGTATGAATTTTTATCATAATTGCCATACCGGCCGGTATTTGGGGTGTTACAATTATCTCCCCTAAATAAACATTTCGTCCTCGAAATTTCAAGTAATGTTAAGGGTACATAAAGCCTATTGCATATTTAATAACACCTTAAGTAGCATGTACGTATATACGAAGTACTTGTTATTATTAAAACACTAATATAAAATCCCGTTCAAAAATCTGGTACGGTAATTAAGCCATGAGTTTGGAGTATCGTTCACATTACCAACCTGAATATTAAACAGCCCGGACTGAGACATCTGAAGTAAATACGTAGTAGAATGCAAGTAAGTAATTGGTCCAATTAATGTATAGAGTATGAATTACAGCGATCTATGATATTGCTCATGTAAGCTGACTATATATGATATGAAGTACGTTGTGAAATTGGAGATCATGTAAGCTTACTATGTTTGATATGAAGTTGTGAAATTGGAGACGGAAAGAATGAAACAAAGAATGAAAGGGAAAATAGAATTATGAAAATGAAAGAATGATATGATTTTAACAGTGAAAGACGATAGGAGAACATAATATTATATACAACTGAAGGATTAGATTTTGCTCATGAATTATTTAATTATTCTAAAAAATGTTACGATTGACTACGAGAGACAAGGAGGAAAATTAGTAAAGAATAAAGTTATGATTTTATATAATAAATCTAATAGGAAGGATATATATTAAAATAATTAGTTTGAACAAAGTGGAGTTCTATGTTTCGGAACAACAATCCGATCAATTTGAATTGTATAATTTGTGATGTATAAAGGTTGAAAAGGGAATTGTACTACTTAATTATAAAACCTGGGTTATAAGATATTAAAGTGTTGAATTAGTTGTGATTTATCTTATTTGTGATTTAACAAAATTAAAGAGTTGCTATTTGAATCGGATGTTGTTAAATGTATAGGTACTTGAAATAAAACATAATCAGTTGATTTTTTTTATTATAAGGCGACGGGTAAAATCGTTCCGGAGGAATTTATATTTTTCAATACAAGTTATTTTTAATTGTTGATTTATTATGTGATATTTGATATTTAAATTGTATGGAGAAAGAATGAACACCATTAAGCCAGATTTGCTTAGCGCGTTGGATTTTTGTCTTTCGCGTAGGTACCGAGGCAATATTCAAGGAGGAATGCATTTGGGAGCAAGTTGCCAATCAACACAGAGTCACACTTGCATATTAGTAATATTTCATTTTTCAGTTTGTATAATAAATATGTATTTAGCATATTAGTATATCTTATAACTTTAAACATTGAATGTCTTTATGCGGCACAATATTAAGAGAAATTGTAGGAGATTTTAAAAAATTTAGGAATTGAATCAAACCGAACCGATAATAAAAATTGAGATTTTTAAAATGGTCCCACATGTTTTGCCTAAGAAACGAACAGGTCTTGACACCAGTTATTTTTCAGCAATCCAATGCATACTCAATCAAAGATGTGGGGTAATTTATTTATTGTTTAAGTGCTCAGAATTATATGGAGTATAATTTAAAGAATTGAGAAAAAAAGTATTCATTTCTTCCTAGAATAAAACAGGGTGTCTACAGCCTAGGTAGTAATGAGAGTGGAACATTATGAACATGGCAGATACCAACAAAAAGGTGCTCGTTTGATATGTGAATAAGTTTTATTACTTGGATTTTGTTTTTGGAAAGTTACTAAGGATTAGTTTGATTGGAATGAAATTTCATAATGGGGGGTCAAGCTGTAAATCCAGCACTCTGTATAAATTGGTTTAGTTCATAGAGGTTGTTCTGATTTAATTCGATTTGATTTAATTTAGTAGATTGAAATAAGTCCCTAATTAGTAATTACCGAAGCTGATGAGTGAAATTTTAAAAGTTGAATGCAACGTAAACACGTCACTGCATAGTTATATTTCCAGACTTTTCTTGGCAATGATATCCAATTTTTCTAAAAGTATTTTTGGTAGCCTAAAGGCTAGGGTGAAAAGTCACATTTGCGTTCAACATTTGTGACAAAAAATGTAGAGCAGAACAAGTTTTCGACAAGTCAATCTCTCTAAAAACTGATTTTGAGTTCTGAAAAGTACTTATGTATTTCCAACCAAACACTACAATATTTACCTCTGCTTCTTGCATCAGCGGGATCAATTTTGAATAGCAGATTCTAACAATTTTAAAAATTGAAAAAGTAACTATAATTTTATTTATGCTGATTATTACACAATTCAACGCGCGAAATAAAAAATAACACATTTATTTGAAATACTAACTTACAAAGTTGACAAATGAAAATATGGGTCATCAAACGAGGTCAACATCTTTATTACTACCTCCGTCCCAAAATTAACTTCTCAGTTTGACTTTACACAGATTAAGAAAATAAATTTGACTTTACTGTGGAGTGCACTGTTTTGCATTGTTTAAACACTATTTGACACTGTTTGGACACTGTTTGGCACTGTTTGACACTTTTTTGATGTAGATTATTTGTCAAATAAGGAAAGTTTTGAAATGTAAAGTTAATTTTAGTACTGCCCGAAAAGAAAAGTGAGAAGTTAATTTTGGAACGGATGGAGTAAAATGTATGGAGTTTTTTTTTTTTTTTTGAAGAAAAATGTATGGAGTATTGAACAATGAACATACATTGGATGACTTTTAAAGGAAAAGGATAGCTCGAAATAGAAATATAAAAAGAAGGCAAATAACATTTCATTTCACATAACAGGAAATAGGAAGTTTCAGAAAATGGTAGAAAGAGTAACGAAGACGATGCATAGCAAGTCGCCTGCCTACTTGCACCGCAGAGTCTCTCTAGAACCACCACGGCGGCGCAATCTTTGTTGACTATTCTCCGTTTCTTCAACAATCGATTTTTCCTATGTGTGTTTATAGGGACAGACCCACACTCGTAGATGTAACCCTCTCCTATCACTATTTAGGATTTCTTTCTCCAATCATCCAAACCAGGCGGTGACAGATTCGACATCAATCCCATCCCCATTTTCTTCAGCATTAATGGTTTCTCCGCCGATTGCGACCTCCTCCGCTCACGGCGGTGGGTGGAGAAACAAAAGCGGCGGCAGTAACACTGGCAGCGTCAGTGATTCACGTGTCCTCTCATCTCCTTCTTATTTCTTCCTTGTCGCGTTTGTGCTGTTGGGCTCAATTGCGGCTCTCTATTGTCGCTTCTTACTGCCGGCTAACGCGCACGCGACACTCTCCGCCGCTGGCTGTCGCGAGGACAATGAGGGATCGTGGGCCATTGGTGTGTTCTACGGCGACTCTCCCTTCTCTCTCAGACCAATTGAAGATGTAAGATGCCTCACCTTCTCTCTGATTGTGCTTTATACACAATCTGTTTGGTCGTGTTTTGGTTTCTTTGCAAATTTGGAAACTTCATTTTGGGTTTTGCTTTGGTATCATCATTTAATGCTCTTTTAATTAATTCTTTATTTTGCTTGCTTGTGGGGTGCGGAAATGGATGGCAGGTGAATGTTTCAAGCCCAAAAGTCGCAGCATGGCCAGTTGCCAACCCAGTTTTCACTTGTGCTTCTGCTTCTCAGTCTGGTTTTCCCAGTAATTTTGTTGCTGACCCATTTCTATATGTTCAGGTGACTTTAATTCTCTTTCAGATTTGCTAATTACATATAGTGTTGTCTATTAATAGTTGATGACTTTTGATTAGTTCCATTATGGATATAAGGAACTTCAGTAATTAGGATTCAAGCAGAATCAGTAGTAAAAAAATGGGGTTGATGGATATGTACGTAGTATTATTCATTGTCATATCTTCTAGTTGGAATCTATGACCGTAAGGTATGGGAATTGGTTAGAGGCATAATTTCAACAGGAAGGGAAAAACTAGAAAAGTGAATTTCTTCTAGATAGAGTTTATTTCAATATGCTCTATAGATACCTATACGTAGTGAGGCTACGTTTTTAATTTTTTCATTTCTGTCAAGGCATTACATTGGAAATGGAGGGGACCAGTAAGAATTTGATTCCCCTGTAGCTGTAGATGCTAATTGGAAGAGATTATTCATGAGAGTAGAATAAAAAGGTTCTATTGCTTTCATTGACTAAAGCTTGGGCCAGAAAAAGAAATGAAAGAACTAAAGCTAACTACATACTTGGCAAACAATATTCTGATTATTACTTCTAGATGAGAACAGTGAGTTGAAACTTGAAACCTGGAAGGGGTATAGCTGAACCTGGAACATGTGATTTAAAAGCATGGTGGTTAGTCTGGTGACTGTAAGATAACACAATTTTTTTTACCAAAGAGCTCATGTGCAGTGGAAAATGGGAATCACACAAAAGGAAGTGTCATATTTAATGCAAAATAGTTGTGGGAATCGTTTCGGTGGATTCTCTTAAATCTTAAGTGTATGCTTGAATCACAGGAAATACTAGGGTAAGGAAAATGAAATGCTTATAAAAGCTACCTCCTTGTGTTTGGTTTTAACTTGAAAAGTGCAAACAAAAAAAAAATGAAATACAATTTGATTTTATTAATTAAGCTTATGTTTGATTTGCTTAAATCTTATACAATCAAAATAAATCAATAAATAAAATGAGTTTGAATAAGTGTATAAATAATGTACTGACTTCAAACCAATGTTTTATTTATCCCCACATAATCTTTCCTTCCAAATTTTCCTCTTAATTTTCTCTCCCTAGCATTTCCTAAAGAGATCCCTAGGGGTTCCATGCATCACAGTGCGCCTCAATTGGAGACCAGAAAACTGTACCTTATTGTGTTCCTTGTCTCTCTTCCAATGCTTTACTACTGCCTACATAGTAAATGATATTCTAAAATTTAGTCTTCTGATAAGTATTATTGCGACTTGCAACTTTGGATTTAATTTCCAGATTTGTTTACTATGACAGGGAGACTCTCTTTTCCTCTTCTTTGAAACTAAGAATGCAATCACAATGCAAGGGGACATTGGAGTTGCTAGAAGTGTTGATAAGGGTGCAACATGGGAACCCTTGGGCGTCGCCTTGGATGAAGATTGGCATCTCTCTTATCCATATGTCTTTGACTACAATGGGAATGTAAGATTAATAGCAACATCTTGTCGTAAGCAAGCATCACATTTGTGAATGGATATTTTATGTGTGCATTCTGATGGTTGACTCATATCAAACTAGTATGAGAATTAGGAAGTAGAATAAATGAAGGGACGAAGGGTGGGTATGGAATTGGAAAGGGAAATATTGGATAGCCAACAATGGTATGATCCATTAGGTACGATGCACAAATTTTTATGTCTACATTCTTATTAGGATTTTAATGGAGATTGGTCGATGATGTGTTCTCTGGTGAGATCAATCTCTTTTTGCAAACCCAGTCTCTTTTAGAAACTCAAGATTTGGAGAGATTTAGATCCTGTTTGGTAAGGATTAAAATTGGTAAAGTTGATTGATTTGTTGATTGTGTGTTGAATTGTTGAAACGGCTACATTGGTTGAACCTGCCGAGGCACCTAAAAAGTATTTAAAATATGCAAAGTATTTCATTAATTAATTATCGGATTGAATATATTTTTAGTGTTTGAATTACTTCCCTACAAAGTTATTTTTTGTTTTTCATTCTCGTAATTTTCACTATTTTCTTTGTAGTCCATCTATCCCCCACACACTCTTTTGCAACATCCGTTTAACAATAAAACATATGTAGTACATGACTAGCAAGTTTTTTTCGTTCTTTTCCACATCATTTCATTATTCAAAAACACTTCAAATTTTATTTACAAATAATCTATATTAAACTTGGGTTGGATGAGAGTATGACTTTGGAGAGAGCGTAGTGGAGGGAGAATGTACGTGTGGAGGATTGGTCTCATTTTATCTTATATTTTTTATAATTATATGTTTTTTAACTTAATCTTTATCATACCTTTTTTTTATTATCTTTTTTATCTTATCTTTTTTATCTTTTTATCCTTTTTAGTTCCGATTTTATATGTCGATTGATCGATTCATGTTAGCCGAACCCAAACTCTTTTGGGTCAAAGGCTTGGATGTTGTTGTTGTATAGTCTATATTATTAACATTAGTGATTTGTTTGTTTTAACTTTAACTCCATTAGTGGACTCTGAAAATTTATAAAAAGTTGACGTATAAAGCTTAGAGAGGAGTCAGGCGAGCAAAATTTAATTTTCTTCAAAATAGAGATTCCGTGAAGTTAGGTATGGAATAAAAAGAAAATAGCATATGGGCTGATTTTTTTTGCAAGGATCTAAACCAAATGATGGTACTTTATAGCCGCTTAAAACAAATTGAAGTCTAATTTGAGCAAAATAAATTCAAAAAATGCATATAGAAATATCATTATATTTAATTCCAACCATTTCAGCCTAAAAGGTAACTCCTGCACTATAATGTTCATCATCAGCCAATTCAACCACGATAGTCTTATACATTGATTACATTCTAAATCTTGTTATCTATCAATCTTTTTGGACCATGGTTTCTTTTCTGGTAGACTGTAATCGTCCGTATCCTTGTGTTGAATACCATGTAACTTGGAATAATTGATTCTGTTGTTGTTGTGATAAGAACAGAAAAATAACAATCAACGGGGTGAACCGTTGCCCTGAATAATCAACGGAAGAATCCGTTGCCCAAGCTACTTTAGCTTAACCAAATCTGAATTTTTATTCCCCCCTCTATTGAATAGCCCTCCGTGGGGTATAAATAATACTGCATATCTCCACGTTCCAGTAGGGCAGTAGGAAACTAAATAAGCTAATTAAATGTATGTAGCCTATCCTAGTGGAAAACAAAGACTAAGGGGAAAGAAATAATTGTACGTAGCTTATCCCAATAGGAATTAGACCTGCGCACAAAGTCTAATGGGAGGGAAATTACTTACGTACAAAGCCTAAGGAAAATCTAATAAAATAAATAGCAATAATAAAAGAACTAATATAATTGAAGCTAATTAAATTAAAAACTCAGCCCACGGATAATCCAGCCCATAACCGGCCCACGGAAGTGGGCCCAAGCCCGGTCCCGCCCCATGCTCTTCCCGCTTCATATCAATCCATCCTCCTTCAAATTAACCTTGTCCTCAAGGTTGAAAACTCGCGGATCGGGAACTGAAATTTCCAGTCATAGAATAGACTGGAAAGTATCCTTCTTCTCTTTCCTGAACCCTTTCCTGGCCGGTTATTTCACAGAATTCATGCTGCTTGAGGTCCAACTCTTCATCCTCCTCGGCTATCATTATTCGCAGCTGCTTAAAGGGACAATCATGCCCCGGCGTAAATGGTTTCTTGCATCTAAAGCATAATCCTTTCGCCCGCAATTCTGCAAACTCTTTTGGTGCAAGTCGAGTGAACTGAGAGCGTGTCGTAGGCTGCCCGGGCAGCCCTGACTTCGTCCCCGGAGGCTGTCCACTATCTTTCGCAAAGCTGCCCTCCGAACCCTGTAAGCTGCCACCAATGGCAGTCAACGGGGAACTTGTGTGTGCCATTGAAAGGCTGCTAGAACGTACCCCTGAAGAATGATAATTTAGACTGCCTTTTTCTCCTCTTTGGACGGACAGATTATGCTCCACCTCGCGAGCTAATTCCATAGCCATCTCCAGGTTGTTTGGCCGAAGTAGTCGCAGCGAGCTTCGGATTGTTTCCTTAAGCCCACTCATGTAATAGCCCAAGTAATGATCGTCAGTTAATCCCGGAACTTGGCTTGCTAACTGAACAAAAAGAATATTGTAATCCTCCACAGATTCAGTTTGCTTGACTCCGGATAGTTGTTCAAACCTGTTTCCCTGATATCGGGAATCAAATCTGGCCACCAGGGCTTGTTTGAAATCTTCCCAGCTTATACCGGGTTTGCGTGATCTCAGCCAGGTTACCCAGTAGAGCGCTCCATCTTCCATAGCTACCATCGCGGCAGCCACCTTCTTTTCCGGTAAAGTGTTGTGTAATTCGAACTGTTGCTCTACCCGAGCGATCCACCCAATTGGGTCTCCCCCATCGAACGACGGAAGCAGCGTTATAGTTGGATTGCTCAGCACGCCTTCTCCATGCAGCTCGGTTGCCGGGATTCGACCCACGTCATCCGCGGCTTTCTTCGGTGTGACCGGCGGGACCATCGCATGGGTCAACGCCGCTAGTGAGGCGATGATCTCCGACAGCTTGCCACCATGCTCTGCCTGTTCGGCCCTTATCAGGGTCACTTCTTCTCTCATACGAGTTTGTTCGTTCTCCAGCTCTGTCAATCGATCATTCTGAGATCTCGTCATCTTGGCGGGACGGGATCCGGCAGGTCGGACCAATTGATAAGAACAGAAAAATAACAATCAACGGGGTGAACCGTTGCCCTGAATAATCAACGGAAGAATCCGTTGCCCAAGCTACTTTAGCTTAACCAAATCTGAATTTTTATCCCCCCTCTATTGAATAGCCCTCCGTGGGGTATAAATAATACTGCATATCTCCACGTTCCAGTAGGGCAGTAGGAAACTAAATAAGCTAATTAAATGTATGTAGCCTATCCTAGTGGAAAACAAAGACTAAGGGGAAAGAAATAATTGTACGTAGCTTATCCCAATAGGAATTAGACCTGCGCACAAAGTCTAATGGGAGGGAAATTACTTACGTACAAAGCCTAAGGAAAATCTAATAAAATAAATAGCAATAATAAAAGAACTAATATAATTGAAGCTAATTAAATTAAAAACTCAGCCCACGGATAATCCAGCCCATAACCGGCCCACGGAAGTGGGCCCAAGCCCGGTCCCGCCCCATGCTCTTCCCGCTTCATATCATGTTGCTGTTGTTATTATTACTAAGTATTATTTTGAAGGATACTGTTCGTTTTGTGCAGATATATATGATGCCAGAGGGCAGTGCAAAAGGGGACCTTCGACTATACCGAGCTGTAAATTTCCCTATTGAATGGACACTGGAGAGGGTGATAATGAAAAAGCCAATGGTAGACTCCTTTATAATTCCACACAATGGGAAGTACTGGCTTTTCGGATCAGATCACAGTGGCATAGGTGCCCAAAAGAACGGCCAATTGGAGATCTGGTATAGCACCTCTCCACTCGGTCCTTGGAGGCGACACAAGAAGAACCCTGTTTACAACAAAGACAAAAGCATGGGTGCTCGAAATGGCGGCAGACCATTTGTCTACAATGGAAACATTTACCGCTACGGTCAAGATTGCGGTAGAACATATGGAGCACGTGTGCGTCTTTTCAAAATAGAGGTGCTCACGACTCGCGAGTTCAAAGAGAAAGAAGTCCCGTTGGGGATTGAGGGGTCTCTTAAAGGGCGGAATGCATGGAACGGTGCCCGAAGTCATCACCTCGATGTGCAGCAGGTGGGCCCGGGAGAGTGGATTGCTGTTATGGATGGGGACCGCATCCCTTCGGGAGATCTGAACCGTCGGTTCGTTCTTGGCTGCACCTCAGCTGTGGGTGTGGTTGCACTTGTCATGCTGTTGGGAATGATTCTTGGGGCCGTGACATGTATTGTTCCCTTAAGTTGGTGCCCTCACAACGTGGGAAAGCGTAGTGATGCTTCCTTGGCATGGGAAAAACCGAATACTTTGTCTTCAAATCTTAGACTGTTTTGTAGCCGGTTGAACCAGGTCAGCTCCTCTCTCCACTCCAGATTAAAACCAAACACCTTTATCGGGATGGTAGTCCTGTCTTTTATATTTCTCGCAGCAGCTGCATTAATATGTGTTGGGGTTAAACACATATATGGAGGAAGTGGTGCACAGGAACCTTACCCATTGAATGGCCAGTACTCTCAATTCACTCTATTAACAATGACATATGACGCCAGGATGTGGAATTTGAAAATGTTTATCAAGCATTACTCGAGATGTTCTTCAGTTCGTGAAATTGTTGTTGTGTGGAACAAAGGGAAAGCACCACGGTTGAATGACTTTGACTCAGCTGTCCCCGTGAGGATAAGAGTAGAGGAAAGGAACTCATTGAACAACCGATTCAAAGTTGACCCGTCCATAAAGACCCGATCCGTTCTGGAACTTGATGATGACATCATGATGACATGTGATGATGTGGAACGGGGGTTCAAGGTTTGGCGGGAACATCCTGATAGAATAGTAGGTTTTTACCCACGGCTAGTCAATGGGGGGACTCCCTTGAAGTACAGGGCCGAAAAACATGCTCGGAAGCACAACGGATATAATATGATTCTGACAGGGGCAGCTTTCATGGACGGTCAATTGGCTTTTGAGAGGTACTGGAGTGAGGAAGCTAAGGTTGGGAGGGAAGTGGTGGACAGGCATTTTAATTGTGAGGATGTGCTGTTGAACTACTTGTATGCAAATAGAAGCTCTTCTGACTCTACGGTTGAATATGTGAAACCAGACTGGGCAATTGATACGTCAAAGTTTTCTGGGGTTGCGATAAGCCGGAACACAAAAGCCCATTATGGTGTTAGAAGCAACTGCCTGGAAATGTTTTCAGAGGTTTATGGGAGTATAACTAACCGAAAATCAATGTTTGGCAGCCGGAAAGATGGCTGGGACGTATAGCCACCACTCTTAGCCAGTGAGGTCAGGTTGAAGTTCAGTTTTTTTTTCTATTTTCCTTGATTCGTATTCTTGTTGAGGTTTGTGTTGTTGCAGTTTCCATTTTTTTGGTCGTGACCTCTTGTGAATATATTCCGGTCAATAGGTAGCTGTTGTAGTGAGTAATTGTAAAATGTACATTGCTTTGGTAAATTGTATTTTATGGTACCCCATATTGGATTTGAAGATATTGGAAGAAGCAAGTTTCTTTCAGTGCCAAATGTGAATACAACAGTACAGTGAGCTCTCTTGTTTCTTCTTAATGGGTGTTAATGTGTTATTATTGTGTGCATTAATTATGAAAATAAGCTGCATAAAATTATATAGGAAAAATTGATAGTAATAATCCCAACTATTGGCGGTCCAATCGTAATAATCCCAACTATCGATTATTTCAGAATAATCCCAACTTTAGGGACCTTCCGCCAATAATGGTCCGGCGTGACTGGCTATAAATAAATTCATATAGTTTCCAAAGTGGATAAGAAGAGATATAGTAGGTAATCCCTGTAAATAATCTCAACTTTTAATTTTTACTCTTAATTTCTATTTAAAATTCACATGTTATAACAGATAATATCCGATCATGGACCATTATTGGCGGATGGTCCATATAGTTGGGATTATACAAAAATAATCAATAGTTGGGATTATTGTTAGCGGACCGGCAATAGTTGAGATTATTATTTTCAATTTTCCCAATTATATAAATAGAAGGAATTGAATGTGTTTTTTGTAATATTATTAGTAGGATAAAATTATATAAATAGATAAGTAGAATATTTTTATATTAGTTGTTAGGCTCAACTAGTCAGCCCCAACCTTGGGGTGAAAAAGCAATTTTTGAATTTTCAAGGGTTCCAAAGTGAGGTTGGGGACATTTGGGGAAATTAGCTATGGCGTTTTCACCAATAGTGTCACATGATAAATATTAGATAAGTGGTATAGCTATTGATTAATGGAAAAACATGTGTCATTTACCTTCAACTGTAGTGAAGTGTTGCCCAAATTTGCACTTTGAAAGAAAAAGAAGTGAGATCCATGCAAGATATAAATCACAATTTTCTTTAAAGTGGTATAGTTTTTTATTTATATTCCAATTTTACAAAATATTTATCAAATTTCTTGACATTTTACGATTTTTTAAATGAAATCAATTACCGTAAAAAAAAATGAAATCAATTTTGCATGTATAAAGTTAAAAATATATGAAATTTCATGAACTTTTATGAGGTGTTATCTTTACGTTACATTCTATATTAGATGCAGACTCGGTCTTGGCATTTTATTGACCTGTGACGATACATATAGAATAGACCTCAGGGACAACATGTGAATGCTATTTTTTTTTTTTTACAAAAATCTATAATTAAGTATATTTAAACATTTTGTCATTCAAATACGAGTATAACGTATCAAAGAATTTAATGAAAGAGATAGTTAGAGATTATATTTAAGTATTTGATAAGTGACATTTGAAAATATCATGTACCAAAAACGGCTCAATGGAAAAGTAGAACGATTGTTACTTGCAGTACATAATTTTGAATCAAGGAAAGACGCTAATCATGTGCTCACAAATTTTCTTAAAAAATTCAACTAGAAACACTCTCAAAGGGCTTGAACATACTGCGGTTTTGGTCAATTTGGACTGTCCATGATATTCCTCATATGTAACTAGATAATTTATAGGCCCTAAGTGAGCAATGGATCCTGGGCGCATGCCCCTTTGCCCATACCCCGGGACCGGCCCTATGCAAAATGATCTCCTTTCCCAAATTGAATTGGATGAAATTTAAGGAAGAAGCGATTTGATTAATGAAAGCTAAAAAGTTTCCTGTATTCAAAAAATAAAATTGTAGAGTGATGTTGACCCACGTGTCATAGTCATGACCTCATGGTCAATGTACACAATCGATCATCGTATGAGACTCTACTTGTGATGGATATTTTCTCTTAGAACTTATTTCCTATTTTGATGATCTTAAAAGAACTAGTCTAAATTAGATTTAAATAGATTAGGGAAGTTAAGTATATCCAATGTGATATGAGTAAAAGACGTACAATATTTAGGAGGACTTGACACGGATCAATCGAATTTGACACGAATCATAACATATTTTTGGTATGACGTTATATAAAATAACTAGTGACAAAGTGATATTGACACGACACTTGGCACAAATTTGTCATATTCATGTCAATTCCGTGCCAAATATCATGTGAATTTTAGCAATTCCGTGCCAAAGCTTGGGGCCAATTTAGTTTTTTTATTGTAGTGAGACCTAAAAAGTAAAAAACAAGACGTACTAGAGCAATCCTCACCATACTAGCAAAGAAGTTAGTCTAAGAATATATCTTAGCAATTGCAAAATTAATGCCAATAAACTATACTACGTATATCATTGCTGGATAACTAGGACATACATACTTTAGTTTGTAATAATCAGTGGCGGAGTCAGAAAGTCAGCTTTGTAGTGACGGAGTATAATTTAACACAAAAAAGCATATTTTCCTGATATGTGATCGTACGAAAGAGTTTTATACAACAAACACTTCAAAAAAGTAGCTAAGGTGTCCAACATTCTAAATAAAAAATCAAAACAACTAAATTACATTTTTTTATTGGAGTCTTGCACGTCTCTCCTTCATCAAATAAAAAACATCAATGATTTTATCCTTCATCAACAATTTCTTTTTCAATGTAAGCATCCATGGAATCTCTAAGAAAAACATCTTCCATCCTGTTCCGAAGTCTTCTTTTGAAAATCTTCATCGCTGAAAATGCTCGCTCTGTAGTGGCTATCGAGACTGGAAGAGTTAAAACCAGTCTAATCAATCTATCAATCAAAGGATAAATTTCAGACTTCCCCATCTCGACCATCCCTCGACATAAAACCTGTAATAGAAGAAACAGTCTTGAAAGAGAGAAGATTAGGCACATCAAGTTGATAATGTGCAATTGAAAACTCAATTAAATTGATCTTTTCTTGATCAGAAAAATCACGAGGATATAACTTCTCAACAAGTGTGCATATAATACTGATGTTGAATGACTTGAACCCATCTCTAGGATCCAGGGCACTGCTTAGCACAAAACTCTCTGTTGTTTGCTCACTGAACCTGTTGTTCAACTCTTCTAACTGTCTATCAATAGCAACTAGAAAGACATTCACTCGATAATAATGTTCCACTTTTACAATATCCTTCTTGCGACGAGATCGAATAATATCAGAAAAATTTGCATTCATATCAGGAGCATGGATATGCTTACTCTCACAAAAAGATGTCACTTTGCTTAAAAGTGAATCCCAACCTTCATCTCTCAATTTTTGAATCAAGGCATTCAAAATATCCTGTGACTTTTCTTGTAAACATTGACAAAGGATATTTGTAATCCCCATGATTTCTTTCATCAAATGCAATATAAATGCAAAATCAAAAGACATCATCATTTTTAAAGCAAAAGTAGCATCACCAAGTTGAGAGTATGAAGATCCTCCATCAATTACTATTTGGACAACGGAACAAGTTGGACCAAAAAATCTGATAAGACTAGAAATTGAATTACTGTGAGAGCTCCATCTTGTATCCGTTAGTCTTTTCAAAGTTGTAATTTGATTTAGACCATTTCCTGTATCAAGTTCATTGAGCTCAACTAATCGAGCAATTTCTTCCATTTGATTAGCTCTCAATTCACCATTCCGTTTACATGAAACACTAACAATATTAATGACAAATATCACATTCTGAAAAAAAAATGTGTGTACTTCAGAATAAGACTAATTTATTCAGATACAGTGAGAATTAAATTCATATTGTTTCTTTAATTAGGGACCACCAATTTCATTTTAAATACATGTATGGGCGATCAAACTGGGTTCTTATTTTCGACACATAATCTCTTGACTAATTTATTTTATTGTAAGTGTTTGCAATGATAAATTACTAATATATTTAATTTATTAGAGAATTTTATAATTATCGAGAATGTAAGCATAGTTACCCAAAATTCCACTTGGAAATATTGAGAAGATTTAAATCATGGTGGGTATTTTAAACCATCTTTAATACAGTATATCTACTACGTATATTTAAGGATTTTATGATAGGAACTAATGAAGTATCATTTTGCTGTTCAAAAGTTGTAAGAGATTTTCTGAAAATTATCCTAAAACAAATTAATAAACAAAAACGTAACAACAAGTCTATAAGGCCACTTTGAAACTCCGTCATCACTTAAGTCCAGTAATGACAAAGTCTATGACATAAAAGAAGATTAAGGGGCCAAGTACCTTGTGGTATGATGATATCACTGTGGCACTTCCAAGAAGGAGGTCACATGTACGAATCTCATCCCAGTTCAAGGATGTTGGCATTAACATTGAGCAGATACTATTTAGTTTAGAAACAATTGTCCAAAAAAAAGAAGACGAAGGGAGGCTCCTCCACATCTTTTGGAACCTATGATCACCAGGAAATTAACCTCTTTTCAAGAGGCAGGGGTTGGCCATAGTAGAGACCCTGGCTACCGCCTCCCCAACAATTTCTTTTAGTGTATATATATATATGAAAAATAATTGTCGCCCCCTTAAAAAATAATTTTTGCCACCTAAAATATATTTTGAACCCCCAAGATGAATTTTCTGAATCCGCCCTTGTTAAGAGGCACTTGACTAGACATCCAATCGTGTGGTATTGAACCATATCTACACCAATGTGGATGATAGAAAGTTTACTTGGGAACCGGTTGGAGTGGTAATTGCAGCAACGGCAGTGCTGGCTTCCTTTGTTAAGATAACAAAGGAAAATTAATAGTACTACTATTATATGGGTAAAGCCAAAATTAGTTGGTGAAATGCTCGAAATCAGGAATTTAATGGGCATATACACTTCAATTGTAGCACGTGGTATGCACGGAAGATGCACAAAATGTGCAGACTCCATATATAGTATCTTCACACAGTTTAAGGAAATGATCAATAGCAACAAACAAGATTAAGGAAATGATCAATAGCAACAAACAAGATACATTGTTTTTGCGGCTCCTATGCAGATGCCCACTCTAGTTTTGGGGGAGGATTGCAGCTGATCAAAGATGATGAAGAAGATGAGTCAAGTACGTTGTGTAAAGCCTTCCTCCTTGCATCATCTGTACATTCTCCCCATTTCATTCACAAAAGTAAAATAAAAATGGAAGCTGAAGGCATTACAATTTGATTAAAAAAAGGATATTGCCCAAAAAAACTCTGAGTAAGAAATAGGATAAAAAGTGAAGATATTAAATTTGCTGCATATCATAACTCATTACTATGTATTTTGGAAAAGGAATCACAAAGAGAATAGCCCTAATTTGTAGGGAATGTGAGAAGTCGAGAAAGAGAAGCCGGTAAATCGCGCAAATGCCGACTTGACTAGTTGACCTGGAGATTTGAAGGGTCATTTAACTTTTCTTTTTCAATTAATTTAATCATTCGTTTGCTTTTGTTTCAGATGGTTTGTTCGTTCTTTTTTCATTTAAAATTGTTTCAATTCCAAAATTCAATTGATTTCTCTTATTATTAATATGTACACATTAAACCATTTTAACCTGAAAGTACCTCAAATGGAGTCTTCCACACAACGATCCTGATCAGGAACTCCTGATATGAACTACCCTCAATACATATATACTATATACAATATATTTTGTCAGCAGTGGACCCGATATTTTTGTAGGCTGTATGCAAAGACACTAACTTGTAGGCATGATAAATTAAAGGGGAAAACTATCAAATAGGTCCTCGAACTTTCATAAAAAGGTCAATTAAGTCCTTCTATAGGAGGTTCTGTTTGGCCGTCGCGATTTGGGGCAGTTCCCGGTAGAATTTTTTGATGAAATTTTTTGAGCATCTTATTCACCAAGTCTAGTTTACGCATACCAAATTTCAGCTAAAAATTCAATTGAGAACACATTCAAATTAATTCTTGAAGATAACTGCACATTTTTGCGTTCTCGAATTAATTTGAATGCCCTCCCAATTAAAATTTTGGCTGAAATTTGGTATGAGTAAACTAGGCTTGATGAATAAGATGCTCAAAAAATTTCATCAAAAAATTCCACCGGGAACCGCCCCAAATCGCGACGACCGGACAAAGTCTCCTATAGAAGGACTTAATTAACTTTTTTATGAAAGTTCGAGAACCTATTTGACAGTTTTCTCTAAATTAAAAGAAGGCTTATATATCTTTTTAGTTCCTACAAATATGACTCACTTTGTTTTAGGTCCCTGCAAAAATATTTTTTTTGTTTTCATCCTTGTAATGTGCAATATTTTGTTTTTAGTCCATCACTAACTCCTACACCACTTTATTTAGGTAAAAAATATTGTCAGTTACATAAACCTACTAGAAATGTTTAATTTTATCCTTTCACAATTTTTTTGAGGCTGATATGAGGGTTAAAACAATTTAAAACTAATTATCCAGATTTCTAAATTATGTATAAAAAACCTTTTAAAAAATTAGAATTTTTGAAAAACATGACAAAGAATTAGAGAAAAATCTATTAGCTGGGGTTGTTTCGTGTCAATCGGGGGTTGTTATCACCAGTGATGGACTAAACTGAAAACCAACATAAATTCCAGGGATGAAAAAAAAAAAAATTTGCAGGGACATAAAACAAAATTTACTATATTTACATAAACTAAAAACATATTTATTATTTAAACCTTAAAAGAAAGAAGTGACACCAATATTTAATATTTGTGAACAAATATGCGTCTCTGGCCAAAATCGGAACAAGATTTTCTGATTGCATAAGCTTAACACAAAATTGGTGTAAGACGAGTTTAGTCTGGTCAAAAACATGAGGAATATCCCCGAAATAGGAACAAAACGCTATGAAATTTAGTACGCGTAAACTAGACTTACTGAATGAGATGCTCAAAAAATTTCATCAAAAAAATTCTAGCGGGAACCACCCCAAATGGCGATGGCCGAATAGAGCCTCTTAAATAAAGCCTTATTTGACCTTTTTTGGTTAGTATGTGGCCTTATTTGCCCCTTTTCTCTATAATTTATAAGCTTTATAGTTTTATGAAAATATTTCAAATAAGGAAAATTTTGATATAATTTTTATATTCAAAATAATTTCGTATTAAAAAAATATCATTGGTCAAAGTTGATTGTCATTGACTAAGAAAAGTCAATTTGACGAACCTTTTCGAGACGGAGGGAGTATGATTACTATTTTAGTCCATGTGATAATAATGTCTTTTGCCCATGTGAAAATTAAACAAGTTCTGTATTGCATAAAGAGTATTACCCGAAATAGGACTAAAAATGTTCGAAATTCCAAAATAGGACTGTCATGTTTTTATTCCCAAAATAGGACTAATTTCTGCCATGTTTTGGCAGTACCAGACTTCAAACATGGCAGTTTTTTCCAAACTTGGCAATAATTACTCCTATTTTGGGAATAAAAAACATTGCAGTCCTATTTTGGAATTTTCAAACTGTTTTAATCCTATTTCGGGAATTTTCCCTTGCATAAACTAAATGTAAAATTGTTGAGGTTAGTATAGTTATTTAATCTTGTCTTTACATCTAAAGTGAAAACTACAAGTTTGAACGGTTAAAATTAATAAATTGAAACTAATTTGTGAAAATATATGGACCGCTAGAATTATACTCACATCTCATTTAAAAGTTCCCGTCCACTATTCTCCGATCATCGTGAATTGTTCTTAACCTTTTACTTTATATATTTAACTTTTATCAAATTTAATTAATTTTTCTTGATTAGATATTATAAAACTTCTAATGTAGTTTCTGAATATATACATTTTATTTACTAAAAATAATTTTAATAATGACAGAGATCAGTTAACTTTATAGTCAGCCAAACATTACGTGAGAAACTTTAAGTGGTACAGACGGATGGAGTATTATACGAGTATTTGATTAAAAAGGAATCATGCTTCGTAAAAAACAGCATAGGACGGGTCTGATATGAACACACTCTGTCTCTCTCTCTATATATATTTGATTCAATGAAATCATTTTTATTTTTATTCAATAATAAATACATATGTTGCTTTCAAAATTAAATAAAATACGTGATCTTTTTTGTCTTTAAGAAGTAATCCAAAAGTGGCTCAGTGGACGACCCAAAGCAAAATTTTATTCATAATGCTGAAAAATACGGAGTAATATTTTAGCTGTAGAAACCAGACAACGCGTAGTCCATATCTAGCTAATGCATTTCCATAGACAATTATTACTGCAGTATGCAATTATCACATTTACCAGCTCCAGAACTAGCCATTGACATACACAACACTTAACAGCTCCAGTAGATGCATTAAAAAAGAACCAGAAAAACAAAGGCAAGAACAAAAAACAAGCTATTACAACTCAGAATAGGATACAGAATATGATGCTTATTCATCTACTCAAATTAAAAGACACAAAAAGTCACTAGGCACATGACCTTACTTGTTACTCATCTACTCAAATTAAAAGACACAAAAAGTCACTAGGCACATGACCTTACAGTCTGCTTCTTGAATAGTGATTACTTGTTTATGAAAGAAAAAGTCCTTCAATCCTGGTGGAAGATAAAGGTCTGAACCCAAGTCAGAGCTAATAAGTCAAAAGGTAAACAACCAGGCAAAGTGAAAAATAAATAAGCCCTCAACTTAGCATCCACGGGATGACACCAGGCTACTTTTGTAGGCTACAAATCGAGAGCCTGAAGGAGGGAAACACAACTCAATTGAGTCTGTTTCGTTTGTACGAATGTTGTAGGCAATGCAATTGGGACCAGGTGTACCAAAGACAACCACGTCGGGGTATTCTATCCAACCAACTGGGTAAATGCCATGGAGGTTACAATTATGGGGAAACTTTAGAGCATTCATGTCGATCATAAGCCGCTCAGTCCATTCTCCGTCTTTTGGTTTCATCTCCCACACATCCCATACTAATTCGTCACGGGCAATCAACAAAGACAGATACTTTCCTGCTGAGAAGTAAAACATCTTTGTTTCTTTTTCTTGAGGAAGAGGGAAGGGAGTCTCAGTAACAATTTCAGTCTCTACATCCAAAGTCATAACTTGACGGCCATGAGGAGGACTTGGTGCCCAATGCACAAACCCTTCAGTGGTTAACACATGAACTGAGGATGGTTTCTCAGCGGAAGCAGATAAATTTCGGGTAGGTACATGCCTCCAAGAGTGATCCACTCCAAGAGTTAGTATAGCAAATTTTCTCCCATAAGTTAGAGCCACTTTATACTGCTTTGAAGCTGCTGCATATGCTATACCAGATTCAAATCTCTTCACTGTCCCACCAAAAAATTGAGGGAGAATGAATAATCGCTTAGTTGCAGGATTTACAACATGAGGAGGAAACTCAGTTCCATCTACAAACCCCAAAACCAACCCATTACAACTGGCTCCAATCATACATTTGGGATTCTTACTAAACTCGGATACCTCAATCCGGCCTTGACACATGGATATAAAAACTAAATCTTGACGTGTACCTATAAGCTGCATAAGAAGTCCACTAGACATATTACGCTGTAAATGAGCAGATTGAAGTTATTATTACGGATCAAGTTGCACCACTTGCGGCATACCAGCATTGCCGCATGACAGATATCATGAGCTGGGAGACGAACAAGGATCTTAAATAGCAGATCTTCGGGAAGAATCTCTATGTTTGCTAAATTTCCCTCAACCATCTGCATACCAAACAAAAGGCTCTGTCATGAATTTGTTTATAGTTTAAGCTTAAGTGCATCTCTTCTAACTGCATATACTATTTTGAGAAAAGATTAGCCAAGATAATTATATTCTACGACTCTACGAGTATGCATGTAATATAAAATGCTGCAAATAAATGTACTTTATGTGAAAAACTTAATACTCATGTACACATCATAATCATCAAAAGACAAGGCTTGTTTGAAAACAAAATGTCTCAACTCTAGTGAAAAAATCTTAAATAGATCCGCACATTACTTTATTCACCACAAAATCATTTGATGTATGTTGAATCTAAAAGCATAGAAATCATAATTTGAAATACGCTAACATTTTTACTCCTATTACTATTTAGACAACTCTTTTAAAATAATTAGAACATGACAGCCGTTTGACGGAGAACCCGAATTGAAAAGTCCAAAATACAGACAACCTCCATGGTGGCTCCACCGGCAAAGGTGCATGTAGACGACCGAACTCCGGCGAAGGAGGGACACCGGCACCGTCGCCCTACTTCCGCCGTTAAATGGGTGTATGTGCCAATTAACAGTAAAATTAACAGTATAATGGCGCCTAAATTTGAAGCTTAATTCACAAAAATGTATATATACTGCGTAATGTCTAAATTAAATCAAGAAGGAAGGTGTGGATTCGATATGGAGACAGAAAGATGAAAGCTTACCGCGGCCATGGTTGCCCTCTTTTTTTTCATCGGGACGCTTGAAGCGAAGTTCTACGATGGTACTAGCAACACTCTTATATATTCCCAACTCTAATTATTCTTTCCCGGAGTCTGATTATTCCAGAAGTCTTCGTACACGACTTCACGTCATGGAAAGTTCGGCCATTTTTATTCCAATATTACTAAAAATAGGATAAAAGCTAAAAAAGTGATCTATTTTTTAAAATTCTAAAAATGTGACCAACATCACAATTAACCCTGCAGTGTAAACTGTAAAGTGACTCCGGACAAAGTGACTCCGGCCAAAGTGACCCCACCGAACACAGTGACTGACCCGCCGGGCCCTGCCGCCACAGTGACTGCCCCGCCGCCACAATGACTGCCCCGCCGCCACAGTGACTGCCCCGCCACCACAGTGACTGCCCCGCCGCCACAGTGACTGCCCCGCCGCCACAGTGACTGCCCCACCGCCACAGTGACTCCGGCCACAACGACTCCGGTCACAATGACTCCAGTCATAGTGACTCCTCCGCCGCAAAGTGACTCCGCCACCGCAGTGATTGCCGCACCAGCCAAAGTGACTGCCCCACCGGACCACTGCAGCCGCCCCTCGTGAGTGACTGCCGCGGCTCCCTCGTTAGTGACTGCCGCCGCCCCAACGTTAGTGACTGTCGCCGCCACATCGTCAGTGACTGCCGCTGGCCCTTGTTAATGACTGTCGTCGCCTCCGCAACTGTACACCACCACGAGTGCCATCACCGGCCACTGCAACCGACCATCACTGCTCCGGTCAGCAAATGCTCACCAGCCCTCAGCCACTGCCCCGCGTCGCCACGGCCCTTTCCCTGCGTCACCCCAACCCCCCTCCTTTCATCACCCAGCCGTTGCCTCACCCAACCCCCTCCCCTGCGACACCCAACCCCCTACCAGTCCAGCACCACCACGCCCCAGTCCCTGTAGCATCACCACGCCCCAACCCCTCTGGCACCAGGCAACCACATCGTAGTTATTGGTGTGTTAGCTCCGCCACCGTCACAACCGGCCACCACTATAGATCTATAGTTCTAGCTTCATTGCAGATTTGAAACATAGTCACCACACTAAATCTGAACAAGAGATGACGTAGAAACACCATAGGAAGGAGAAGAATAACTAGATCTAATATCATACTAATTCGATTTCGTTGTTTTTGTTGAGGTTGGAGTCACCGTTAATGGAGTCTCACCGCCATCACTCAATCGCTGGAGTTCGCCGCAACATGGATTTCATCTGTGAGGTGAAGAGCTGCTGAGATTGGGGGCGGAGGGCGTTTGAGCTTCGCGTCTTGCATCCATGGCAGCTCATGGCAGCTCTGGCCGTGCCTTAAAACGTCGAACGAAGAGAGAAGGAAGGCAGCGTCGAATGAAGAAAGAGGCAAGCATCGGGTCAGTTTTTTTGGAAAAATTGAGAAAAGTCATAAATTTAGAAATCAGAAGTCAATTAGTGATACGCGTGCAATTTTTTCATAAGTTATTTGATAAAACATAGGAGCTCTGTTCGGCCATCGGGTTACCCATACCAAATTTTAGCTAAATTTTCAATCGAGAATGCATTCAAATTAATTCTTGAATATAACTGTGCAGTTAAATGCACAGTTATCTTCAAGAATTAATTTGAATGCGTTCCCGATTGAAGTTTTAGCTGAAATTTGGTATGAGTAACTAGATTCCACCGGGAACCGCCCCAAATCGCGACAGCCAGACAGAGCCTCCTATATAAGAACTTATTTGACCTTTTTATGAAAGTTCGAATACATATTTGACAGTTTCCCTTTTTAATACTGAAGTAGTCAAGTATATATATTCACCACTTGTATTATCATAGGAATTGTTTGTATGCATACAATTTTATCTATAAAAAAAGACAAGGAGCTTATTTGGTAACAAGAGAATCGGCTGATTCGGCTGATTTTGCTGAAATTTATGAAGTTCTGGCTGAAGTGACTGCATTGACTGATTCTGCTGATTTAAGAAAAAAAATCCTAAAATATATTTTATTAATAAAAATAAAGAAAACATCAGATGTAAAAATAGCTAAAATGGTCATCTACAGTAACTTTAGCCAATACACTCAAGAAAAGTAACTCCAACCTTACTTTTTCTTATTATTGCACAATTCAGCGCGCGAAAACTAAAATTACGTGTTTGATAAAAAAAATTGGCTAATAAGCCTGATAAGCTGAAAAACAGTGATACCAAGCGGTCTTAAGGTGTAAGAATCGCATACACAAAAAGATGTGTACAATACATTTTTGTAAAACTTTTGCCTTTTTAAAACAATTAGCAAAAAAGGACATGATGGTACATAAAAGGTATATAAACAGAATTTTCTTTTTTATAACCTGTCCTTTTTTCCTAATTTTCCATTTTTGAGTTATCTTATTAACTTTATTATTTTTCATTTTATATAAAGAATTTGTGTTCTCCTGAATTTTCTCTCATCTACTCAAACATTGATTTTTACTTGGTTTTAATATGTTTTAGTCCATGTAAAATATGACACACTTTATTTAAGATCAACTAGGTACATTTAAATTTATCCTTTTATAAATATGACACACTTTTAATCCATGTAAATAGAGGACACATTTATTAAAATATACTTTATTTAAGATCTACTAGGTACATTTAAACTTATCCTTTTATAATTTTTTTAGTCTAATATGACAGTTAAAACAATGTAAAACTAATTATTCGTCATTTAAAAATGTGTATAAAAAAGCTACTATAAAATAAATTTAAATACTTTTTGGATAATATGACAAATAATTAGAGGAAACCTATTAGTTAGGGTTGTTTCGTTGTCAAACAGAGGTTGTTATCATCGGTGTAGGACTAAAAGGAAAATCAACATAAATTTCAGTAATGAAAAACAAAAAAATTACAAGGATAAATTAATGAACTAAAAACACATTTAACTTGTTTACTTTATTAGTTTACGTGTCGGTCAATTTTGATAAAGTTATAAGAGACAATGAAAATACGGAGTACATTTTTTTTTCTCTTATTTTCACCAACTACAAAACCAATGTTCTAAAAGGTCTAGGCGCTAGTCAGGTGCTAGTCGATCACATATTTCCTAGGCAGCTATGTGGGGACTAGTCGGAGACATAAAACTTATACTTTTATCAATGTTTCACATAAGTATGATTAGTAATTCTTTTTTTTGTGTGTATACAAAATACATAAACACAAATACTCCGTACACATTAACATGAACGGGTGATAGATGTGTCACATTTAATAATATTATACACACTAATAATATTATACACACTGCCTTAACTTTATTAGGTAATAAGTTAAGTATTACACAGTATTAAATAATATAATATTTAAGATTACATACAAATATGTATAGTTGTTTAACCCGTTTGGTAGCACGAAAATCGGCTGTTTTGGCTGATTCTGCTGAAATTTATGAAGTTCTGACTGAAGTGTCTGCATTGGTTGATTCTGCTGATTTAAGAAAAAATTATCTTTAAAATATATTTTATTAATAAAATAAAGAAAAAGTTACATGTAAAAATAGTTAAAATGGTCATCTACAATAACTTTAGCCAATACAGCCAGAAAGTAACTCCAACCTTACTTTTTCTGCTTATTACACAATTCAGCGCACGAAAGCAAAAATTACGTGTTTGGTGAAAAAGATGGCTGATAAGCCTGATAAGCCAAAAATCAGTGTTGCCAAACAGCCTCTTTATCTTAATACCAATGTTCTAAAAGGCGCTAGGCGTTAGTCATGCGTCAGCCCAGCGCCTAGCGCCTAGACGGCTAGGCGCGCGCTAGGCGGGGACTAGTTGAAGACATAGAAGTTGCATTTCTATCAATATTTTTGCATAAATATGATTAGTAATGTTGTGTTTGTGTGTATAAAAAAATACACACACATATACATCAACATGCATGAATGATAAAGTTATCATATTTAATACTACCTCCGTTCCATTTTATGTGTCTTAGACTCTTAGTTTGACTTGCAACGATTATTAATGAAGTGGTTGAAAAAGTAAAAGTTGTGGTTGAAGTTTGAGTATAATAAAGTGAAATGATGTAAACCACGTATTTGTTTCCAAAAAAGGAAAAGAGACACTTATTTTGGGACAACCCAAAAAGGAAAGTAGGACAAGTAAAATGAGACGGAGAGAGTAATATATTATACCTACTCACTAGTAGCTTTCTTCATATGTGTTTTTAAAGTTAAAGGTACATATATTTTCTAAGATACTAAAATAAAAAAGCCAAAAAAATGTTCGTTGAATCTAAACTCCTAGGCAGCCGATAAAGCGCTCTAGGTGGGCAACTAGGCGCCCTAGGCGGCTGACTAATTCAACTAGGTGGGCGCCAAATCAATTAGTCGGAGCGCCTAAACTAAAATCGGGACGCCTGACCACCGCCTAGCGCCTAGGAAAGGACTAGTCGGACGCCTAGAGCGATTTTAGAACCGTACTTAAAATACTATTAGTAGCTTTCTCATATGTGTTGTTAAAATTAATAAAGATAAATATATCTCTTAGATAACCAAAATAAAAAAGTAAATAAAATCTTCGCCAATTTAGACTTCATATGCGGTCGATTGAGTGCTCTAGATGAAAAACTAGGTGCCTAGGCGGTCGACTAATTCACTTAGGGGTCAAACCAATTAGTCCAAGCGGCTAGACTATATTTTTTTAATAGAAAAGTTATCTATAGTTTTTTGGGAAATAATTAAAACATGATTGATTTCGTTTGAATTTTGGACGTAGAATCGTGTACATGTCAAACCCAGGGCCAACTTTAAATTAGGGGTGAAATTTTGAAACCAAGAACCGGAAATCCGAACTGAACCATTATTCGGTTTGATTTGATTCTAACAACAATTAGTTATTTATTAACGGTTCGGTTTTTTATTAACCGTTCAATTTGTAGTTTTTATTAACGTTTCAGTTCTCAATTCCTATAAACTATGTATGTTAGACCGTTACGTAACCGTTATATAATATATATATATATATATATATATATATATATATATATATATTTCTATTACTTATTAGTATAAGTATTTTAATATTTATGTACTTATTTATTTTTATATTAAATTCACTAATTT